ATATTTTATCTTATAATTTTATCAGTATAATATAGAATATAAATGTAATATAATAGAAATATTATAATTTATATAAGTATAAATTAATTTAAGCACACAGGTAAATATTTTAAGCACATGTTGCTGTCTTTACCTAAAAAAGACTAAAAGTGGATAAACTACCCATCTCTGGATTATAACTTTTATTTCACATTCATTCTTTTGTATATAACTGATGAGCAGAAGATATAACTTCGGTGCATTCGATTTTTCTATGTATAAAGTGCTGTGGTTTGAACGTTTTTATCCCCTCCAAAACTCATGTTGAAACTTAATCCCCAATGTGATAGTGTTGGAAGGTGGGAACTAATGGGAAGTGTTTAAGTCATGAGTGGATCAGTGCTGCTATCAAAAGAGTTTACTCTCTTCCACTCTCCTGCTCTTCAGAGAAGGCAGCATTCAAGGCACCGTGTTGGAAGCAGAGACCAAGCCTTTACCATACACCAGACCAGATGCCAGTGCCTCGATCTTGGCCTTCTCAGCTTCAAGAACTATGAGGAAATACAGTTCTGTTCTTTATAAATTACCCAGTCTTAGATGTTCTGAAGAACAGCTCAAATAGACAAAGACATGGATTTATTTATTTATCTATTCCTTCAGTAAATATCTGTTATCCATCTATTATATGCTGCAAACAGAGGACAGAATGATAAATTGGCCCTTGTCCACAAGGAGTTTCCATTTTAAAATGTAAGACAATAGATTAATTTTTGTTTTAGATTAAGTGTATATAAATATCTAGAAAAGTGATTCTCCATTTAGATTAAGTGTATGTAAATGTCTAGAAAAGTGATTCTCCAATTTCTTCTTTCACAACTATCCCCAATGCATCCCCAATGCACCTATGTATATCCATCCCACTTCCCACCCCTATTTCTATCATTTTCCCCTAATTGGGCCATAAAGGGATTTGAGGATATTTTTCCTCAACTAAAGAAACTGCCATCTCACTCAATTTTGCCTTGTTGAAAAGATAGTAATAGGGCAGGACACCCAAGAAACAATGTGAGAAAAAAAGATGTTGGAATAAAAAAATTAAAGACTAGTTGGCAGAAAATAATTTAACAGTTATGTTGAATCACCACAATATTTCCATAGAAAGATAAATTGCTGCAGATCCACTTCTCGGGGACAATGTTTCAACAACCTTAACCTTAAATCCTCTAAAAGGAAAATTAATCTATTGTAAAGTACTCTGCCCCTTAAAGAAGTAGTACAAAGAGTGAAGATGAATTTAGAAAAATAGACATGGATTTAGACTTATTCAAAATGGTCTTTGTAGCAGATTCAACATTATGAATTCACACATATTTAAGGAATTTGAAACAGTAATTAATAGAAATACTAGAAAGAAGTCCTGGTTATTGTGTTTTGTGTTTAACACTATAAGAAAACAAGAGCGTGAAATCTCAGATATTTAAGGGCTCAAAAAGTGCAAAAGAAAATATCCCTGAAGATAATTCCTTTCTTACAAAAAGGGATGTCCTTAATTTAAACTTTGTGGGAAATAAAGCAAGAATTCTTATGCTTATGGGGCCAAGTGACTGGATAGAAGACAGTAGAACTCAGTAATTGGATTATCATTGTAGCATCTCAAAGTAACTTGAAATAGGGGAAAAAAAATTTTAATTTGGACTGTTCCTGAATCTTAAAATATACATACTGTCCATTTTTCTGTATAGTATTTGAAAACAATAAAAATTCTATGATTTGAAAAAAAAATAAAAAAAAATAAAATGTAAGACAGAATGCTAAGTTTTATCTCTGGTCTTTATGGGGTCACAAGGGAAAGGTTATCTAAACCTGAAGAAGAGAACACTTCCTAGAAAAGATGATACTTGATAAACATCTAAAAGTATGACTAAAATTTAACCTGGTAAACAGAAGAGGAAGGGTGGTACAAACAAAGAAACTATAAGAACCCAAACCACAGAGTTGAGAAACAGGCAGGAATTTGCTGAAAACTCCAAGCCATTTGGTTTTGTTTAGACTTGATCCTATATTAGTCAGTCACAGTGGCAAGGCTTTTAGACAGGGTCATGGTTAGATGCCATTAAATAGAGCACTTGCAGACATTTTGTCAGGTGAATTTGTCAGGACTGGATGCAAGGAAAGCAATTAAAGGCATGGGCTCTTAACTAGCAGGACTTGGATACCTAAAGGAGTTATAGAAAGAATTTAGGAGGTCCTTGAATTTGATGGGGAAATATTACATTATTATTCTCATTAATCTCTTATTAAAATTAAAGACTTTCATCAATTACAAATATAAGGACTAAAGCATAGTATTAACAATACCAGCAACACTAACCAATAGAGAGCACAGATATATTCATGTTATCTTCCAGCTGTTAAAGCCATCTTAAACACTATTTATTCATTCATTCTCGATTGTGGCAAAACCCCCACATAACATAAAATCTACGATCTCAACCTTTTTAAGTGTATGCTCAGCAATGTTAAGTATATTCATATTGTCTTACAACATAACCCCCAGAACTTTTTTAATCTTACAAAAATGAGACTGTATATGTGTTGAACAGCACCTCCCCATTTACCCCTATCTCCAGCTCCCGGCAACCACCATTCTATATTCTGTTTCTGTGAGTTTCACTACTTTAGATACTTCAGATAAGTGGAATTATATAATATTCGTCTTTTTGTGACTGGCTTATTTCCTTTAACACAATGTTCTCAAGGTTTATCCATATTGTAGCATGTGATTAGATTTACTTCCTTTTTATGGCTAAATAACATTCCATTGTATGTTTAAATCACATTCAGTATATTCATAAATGTATTTCAATAAATTTTCCTTCTAATCTAGTATAATTTATTTTATGAATTTATTGCTTGTTATGCATTTAAAGTATTTATCTTGTGTCTATTTATTCATTTAAAATGTTACAAGAATAAGTCAATGGGCTTCACCAGACTGCTACAAGTGTCCATGGCCTCTAAAAACGTGGAATTCAAAGATTATTTTGGTAACTCAAGCAACAGATAAAGTCTTGAACTAGGGCAATAATAATAATAAATATATATAATCAAGAAATAGGCAAAATCAGCATGGTTTACTGATTAACTAAATGTCAAGAATAAGTGAAGACAATGATGGCCACTGAAGTTTTAACTTGGTGACTAATAGGTTGTTGGTGTGTAGTTCTGGGAGTCATCAGTTCAGACATTTCATTTAAAACCATGAGAGTGCCTGAGGTCAACCATGGGGAAAAGGTAGAGAAATGAATTGACTCAGGATAAAATCATAGAAAACTAATATTCAAAGAGTAGTCAATTCATTATTATCAGCTATAGTGTTATGCAGTACATATAATGTGTCAGAAAAGAGAACTTCTCTGCAAACAAAAAACTCTGACAAGACATTGGTGGTTAATTTGTAAAGGACCATTGGTTATGACTCTACTCCACACTTATAATTTTTGCACCTGCAATTATTTACATGCAAAAAACAGTGCAGCCACAGTTGCCTAATTATAAGCACAACCATACTAATTTGTCCTCAAAAAGAATAGCATAAAGAGATACCATCTGTGAAAGTGCTGCAAACCCCTCAGACCTTTTCTGCTCCAAATCCTGTAAGGCTGGTGGGCACATTTCCCTTTTGGCTTCTGTCTAGGGCTTTATTCTTGCCTGATCTCATTCATGCATTACAGGATAGTCAGTCTGATAAGCCGAGAGTCAGCAGGCCTTCCTCTTATCCAACCAATGCTTTTCTCTCCACAAATACAATATGTACCATAGTACGGGCAGACTGAAAATAGAAGCCATTTCTGAAGCACATCATTTGCTATGTTAGTGTGAGCAAATTCAATTTTTTTCACATGTAATTTTACAAGGGAGGCAATTTGTATATTATAAAGACAAAATCTCATACAAATTTCTGCTCAAAAGTGACAAGAAAATTATGTTACTCTACTTTTTAAAAAAGTTTTAGCCATTTATTAAAAACACAGATGTCACTTTTGATCAAATATATTCATATTTCCCTATTATATTATTAGGGCCATCATGAAATTTAATAATTGTCCCTTGGAGTTTGATTTTCCCCAAAAATGTCATAACACAATCAGTACTATAGCAAATAATTATTGAACTATGTGGAGACGTTATTATTCAGGTGGGAAATATATAATAATGGATGAGAAATATAAAACCCAGGTTAACACCTGATAAAGATTCTGTTCTCATATAAATGTCAGTAATAATAAATGTGGGACAACATAGCCTACTTTATGAAAATGAAACAGATTCTAGACAGAATAATTTTCAAAGGTTTTAATGACAGTTCAAATATTATTTGCTTATCATTTAATCATATTAAACATTTTGGATATGATAAGTTCTCTTTGATGGAAACAATATTCATTTTAAGAATGGGAAATTCAGTAGTTTATTAGACTAATGACTAAAATCAGGATGTAAGATATGTTTCTTCTATATGAAATCTATATTTCTCCACTCTGTAATATTTTGTATTGTCATAAAGTATTAACATAAAGGCTTTTGTGGCAAATGAATGCTTAAGAATTCTGAAATGTTCACTAGTATTTTTTTTTTAATTTAAAAAAATTACAGTGAAAAGGAAAGTGCATTTTTGTTCTACTACCTTTGTCTTAGTAGTGTATAGGTCATAAAGGGTTAAAGCAATAATTAGATACCACTCTTAAGTTTATGGACAATGGGAATACGTTTGGACACTGGAAATATGATAAAGCAATTTAGGGTGAGCAAAGAAGAACATGTTAAAAAAATGAAAATTTTTAAAGGGGAAACATCATTCCAAAAAGAGAATTAATTAGAAGTGAAAGATTGGTCAGCCATTTGTTCTGCCTGCTATAACTGAACATTTCAATGGATGCAAAGTTTAAAATATTAATGGCATGATAAATATAAGACATTCATCTTCACATGAGGTTGAATAAAAAGATAATGCTACTCACATCCTGAGCTACCATTTGTTGACACCAGAGTCAAGTTGGAAGGCCATGGATTCCGAACAATATCTTGCCAATGAATGGTGTCTGCATAACAAAGGAATTTGTTCTGATCTACATAGACGCCACCATTTAGGATTTCTGTATTCAAAAGAAACAAACAAACAAATTTGTTGTCAAACTGCTTGTTGATGAAAAGGTAGTCAATAAAAACGTTCTGCTCTTAAAACTTTCAATGTTAAATTAGTTATATTAGTAATTTACATTGCTAATAGCCAACATAGTTTTTAAATACTTTCATTGAGTCATGTATACTGACTACAGAAATTTGAAAAGATTGAAAAATATTAAAGTAAAAAACAACCACTCATGCTATACTCAGAGATATACACTTTCAAGATTGTGGTCCAGATGTTATCAGTCCTTTTTCTGTTTCTTTTTCTCCTAAAATTAGAATAGTATTGCATATAAATATTTTACAACCTGCTGGTTTTAATTATATAGTGAGTATTTAATGATAATTAGCTATTATACTATATTATTTTTAATGAGAATATGTTATACCAAAGTATTAATTAAATAGTAATTATTTAACCAACCCCCTCTTTTTGGTCATTTAACTTAGTTATGCCTGATTAGTCTCTAAAATAAATACTGACAAATGACATTCCAAGGTAACAAAGTGTGAATATTTTTCAGACTTTTGGTAAAAGTTGTCAAATCTCCCTTAAGAAAGATCTTTTCAGCCATTGTGACATTGAATGGAATCAGTAGGTAAGTAATTAGTACAAAGTGGAAGCTAAAATTAATGCCTCAATCACAAAAATGTTATTTCTCATCTCAAATGAATTCAATAGAATTGCCAATTGTTTTTTTTTAGAATAATACAAAGCAAGATATAATAAAAACCCAATGGTTCATTGGAAAAAGGGCATGGCTGTGGGATAAAATGTACTAAATCCAATTTTTACTTGATTCTCTATTTTGAAACACTGGCCTTAATTAGCTAATTTGTTCCCCACAAACAGTGTCTGACCACATACATTGATTCTGTTTTAGATAGCTTTAAGTCATCTAGGAAAAAAAAAAAGTAAGATATAACTTCTGTTCTAATTATTTGGAGAAATTAGCTAGACATACACATAGCACCTCTTCCCCAATATCTACTGCATTTTCCCCTCTTATCCAATACAAAACAACTTAAGAGAAATCTTGCCTCAGTCCATAAAGTATTCAGTTACAAGTAACAAAAACCTAATTAATAGCAGTTTATCAAGATGGGGGATTGTTTTGTTCACATAATAAGAAACCTATAGGAGGAAACTGCAGATATTAGTTAGTTCAGCTGTTCTGCAGGACCCATTATCTGCCCCATCATTCTCAGTGTGTTGGTTTTCTTCATTCCAGGCACAAGATGGCCACTGCATCTAAACACATCTGTCCTGAATTGTACGCAGGATGAAGAATGAAAAGCAAGCAAGAGACTTCCTCCTAATGAAGCTCTGACTTTCTGTTTGAGAATAGATGCTCTCCTCAAGGATAATGTCTGCATTTCATTGGCCAGAACAAATATCTCATGGTTACCCTTTCTGCAAGAGACACTGAGTAAAGAATTATGAATATTTAGGTGGACATATTCTACTCAAGCAAAACCCAAACCAGCAAAGATATTAGTGAGAAAGAAGAGGAACATGGATATTGGAAAGGCAACCAACTCTGTTTCCATGGTAGCCTCTAGAAAATCATCTCTGTTTTGTGGTACGTCAAGCTAAATTTTAAAAAGTCATCTTAAGCCAAAGAGGGAGATAAAACAATGCAAGGAATATGTGTCACCCCTAGAAGGGTATTTGTAGAAGTGAAATTTGTGGGAGCATTCAAAGTGCCTCACTATTGCATGTATAAAATCCTCCAGATTAACTTTGATATTGCAGCGCTTTCCACATTTAGAGTCACTCCCATTTTCACCATCAATCCTTTCATTGACTATTGGTTCCATTTTCTCGGGTGAAAAAAAAAAACACAAAAAGAAATTAGATCATCTTTCTACTTCTAAAACCCAGTTCATTATTTTTCATGCCCTAACCATACAACCTTCATCAAAGCAGAAGGGAGATGTAAGACATAAGAAAGATTGTGAAAATGGATTTCTACATTAATGTTTGGCATTAGGTTTCTATCTAAGAAATGTGACGATCTCATACTAATAGCTTTCTCATGAGACATTAGGTGATGCTCTTCTGCTCTAGGAATAATTCTCCATTAGGTGACAAAGAAAGAGATTTTGACTGCTATCCAGGAAATGAAGGTTATTTTTCAGTCTACATTTAGAAAAGTTTTACTAAAAAAAAAAAAAGGAAAAGGTAATAGCTCAAATATTATGGAAAGGGTCTGGTCTATATTACAGGAATCACATTTTAATTCAGATAGTTCATACAAAGGAACACAGCATCTGTCTCCAACTTCCTATCTAAAATTTTTCAAGTAAAATCAGATTATATTATATTGAATAATAATCTTATCCAATACCTTTCTTCAACAATATTAATCTGCTCTGAATGTGGGCATTTGTTTCTTAGAAATATTCTGTTTAAGGGCTTGGCTTATACTTGGAAAAGGTATTTAGAAAGGAGATTATAATAATTCAAGTATAATCTTACATGTTAAAATTTCAAATTAAGATACAATCATTATCAATCTAGGTGATACTTTTATCATGCCAAATTCAAAACGCAGCATCTGCTAGTGATTCTGGTCAGGAGGATTTATAAACTTTTAGCATTTAATGAATAGTTTATTTGTCTATATGTGTGTTTTCCCTGAAAACAGGTCTTTTCTTGTTTATGTTTGGCATAGACTCTATTCTGCTGTTGAATGTCAAAACCCCACAATCAGACTATGTATGTTTTCACTGACATTTATAGGAGTGTTTTAATGTATACTTGGTCTTATTTTTTAAATTAACTTGCCTTAATATTAGGAAAGATTACCTAGTATATTATTATGTATATCATATATTGCCTAATATATAGATTACCTACCTATTTGTCAGGAAATAATGTTACAATTGGATTTATACATTTTTAAAGTTTCATTGATTTTATAACTTCACAAAAATTCTAAAATATTAATTTCATATGTTTTTGTGAGGAAACACTCAGTTAGGCTTATTTCTGGACTAAGAAAATTCTAGGGAATAGATATTCACCTGTAAGAACATTCTTAGAGACACAAATTATTTACTTGTCAGAAGGAATATCTAATGTTTCTGCCTTGGTTGACTATAGAGGCTTGACTACATTTTTAGATAAGAAAGAGGGACAAGGATGAGAAAAAAAGAAAAGCTTGGTAAGATGTATATCCAATAGGATACCATAAAAATGTCTGGCTGTATTTAGATCTATCCTTGGAGGCACACAAGAACAGCAAACAGTCCACACTTTCATTAAAGATTTATTAGAAGGAATCACCCATGTTACACCAATAGTTTCCCTACCACCAACATGAAATAAAATGACTAATAACTAAGTTTTAAGACCAGGAAGAAAAAATTCCAATCTAAGGATGATAGGCAACTGAGGCACAAATTTAATTGATATTAAAAGATATACAAAGCCTGGATGAGTATAGAGATCGAATATTGTTGAATAATTGAACGATCTCAAAGTAATCTCATTCCATTGTATTTTACTTGCACTGTGAAAATATATCGGAGTAAATCAAGAGAGAGAAAGATTCTTGGTCATTTAATCAATTAGTAGGAAAAAACTGCTTTGAGTTTTCTTATTATATAAAAATATTTCCAGCAAATTCACAAAACAGAACTGTCTCTTCTTAATAAATGTCATGGTTAAATATAATAGGATATATTTGATATGACATCTGTGGAAAAAGTATCATTTCATTATTGAAAAATCCAGTAAACAAATATGTTTGTGTCTCAAACATTTCCTATTAGATTAATACATGGCAGTCAAATAAAAGATGTCATGAATCCTTTTGTATTTAAATTATAATTCATACTATTCTCCAATATGTTGAATTTAACTTATATCTAACACACTATTTGTAACTGAAACATAATTAGACTAAGCTCCATGAAGGCAAGAAATATTTTTCACAGCTGTACCTATAGCATCAAACCTGGAGCAACAGTTAATGAATTCTTGTTAGATTTAATTTGAAAAAATGTATCATGGAATCTTCCACTAACATTAACAAGTTCAGTTCTATTGTAGTTCTTAATTTTAAATTACAGTGTGACCAAATTAAAGTAAGAATAAAAGTATCTTTTTCCATAAACACTCTCTAGGTCATCTTAACTGCTTGTATGTTTCATTAAGTTTTGCTCAAAGCTATATCCCAAGTTTCTAATATTATGCTAATGGCACAAGGGATACACAACAAATATTTGCTTAATTAAAAAATCTATATATAATATCTTGAGTACAAGTAAAAAACAAACATATTTTATATAATTCTGTGATTAGAGATTTTATAAGCTAAAAGAATAATAGTTTTTATTATATAAAATGCTTATAACTGATAATCTATAAAATTATTACAGACAGTACATTTGATATTTATAAGGTATTGTTATCCCCAAATTTATTTTGTACTCCAAACTCAATTATTAATTATCATGTGAATAATGATGATTTTGAGATATCCTTGACAGATGAAATTCCCCCAAACCCATACAAATTACCTAGCATATACTACACAAAGCTTAAAAGCATGTTTTTATGTTGAACAATGTCTACCTCATATTGTCCTTAAATTATTATTTAGACAGTGCCAATATGACATTTGAAAGAAGACATAAAGTACTTTTGTCTTAGCCTTCCAATCCATAAAGTTTGGCCATTAAACAATTTCTTCCCTTGATTTCCATTTGCATGAGTCCAATAAGGAAATAAATGTTTGTGTTATTTAAATAACTTCTTTTGTATTCTTCATTTCTTGTCAAATGCTAGTTATTATGGTGAATTTGGGGATGAGTGCCCATTAACAGAATCCTTGACATTTTGCAAATATATTCTCTCTAAAGAATATGTGGTAAAACACTGAATCATGGCTTTTTTTCTCTGCCCTATGTGAAATAGCCTAATTGTGATATAACATCCCTGCTGAAAATACAGATT